GCTCGACCCCTTCTTCGCGCCGGACCAGTCCCCCCTCCTCGGGGCTCTCCCCCGCTAAGCAGTGCCAGGCCTCTGGGGAAAAGGCCACCCTCGAAGTTGTGCCCCACTCGCCCCTCTAATAGTTTGGTGAGCCCAGCACACTGCTAAGGGGCCCGGGGGCCTCTGTCCCGCTAGACATCACACCCTCGTCTCCCCGTGGGATGTTACATCTACTGCCACCCCGCAGCCTGAGACTCAAGCTGCGGGAAAAAGGAAACTAAAATAAACCCTCACAAACTCACCCTCAGCCCAGGGAGCTGTGGGTGCCCACCTGCCCCCCGAAGCCTGGGATAGCCCAGGGTCCCCTCACAGGCTCAGCTCCTTCACCTCTTCCCAGCCCCAAGGAGGGATGGGTGGGAGATGAGGGTCCTGGTCTACCCCACTGCCTTGCTTCCACTCCAAAGCCCCATGACAGCACTTGACCCGATTTAAACTGGGGGAAATGTGGGTCACTGAGCTGGAGGGGGCCCTTGGGCTGATGGGGGACACCCACAGTGCCATGAAAACCGTCACCCAGTTCTGTTCCCCCCTGCCTTACCTCCAGTTCCCCAGGATACTCCTCTGCCATCATCCCTGGCCTGCCCTGCGGGTGCTCACACCTGCACTGACAGCACCCAAAGGTGCCCTCTGTGAGAGACAGTGCACCCCGGAAACCCGGGGCTGGGTGTGTACCACCCGCCTGCTCTGGCCCCTCATTACGGCTCAGGTTAAAACTATGCCCAGCACGGAGGCTGGTAATAACATGTGTGCCACCCCCTCCCGGGCCAGAGTATTCTGCCCCCCTCCAGCCCTAGGGTCATCCAGTGACAAGGACAGAAAAGGCACTCATATTTATGCTTTAGTAAAACTAGGAAGAGGAAAAAAACAAAGGGATTAGACCAAGATCCAGCTGTGGACTCATTCTACCACGGCAAGGACTGGCCATGTCACAGTATTTGCTGTCTGCAGCCCAGAGGGCAGCAGGGTGCCAGCCTCCACAACCCAGCAGAGCAAGGCAGGGCTGCTTCCCACAAGGTTTTACTGCTGGTGATGCCCTTGGAGAAAGGGGCTTGGGAGACCCTGAGCAAAGGAGTCTGGGTTAGGTGCCAGCCAGATGGGCAGAGCTGGAGGGCCACGTCCCACCCACTCTCATAATGTCCCACTGAGATGACAGAGTTCCAGGGCATGAGCCATCCAGTCTCCTACACATCTCTTTACCACCTCTTCCTCACTGGCTCCATCCCAGCCAGGATTGAGCACACAGACCCCATCCGTGACAATATGTCCCTCTGCACAGACGTCCTCCACAGTCCCTCCCACTAGCAACAATTCAGAATTTCAGCCACAGTTTAACGACATGCCTCATGTCCAGAGATGCCCATGTCCTGGGGCTGCAGGTCATTCCCACAGTCATCCAGCCTACTCTGACTCCACTTCCCCCATGCTCTCAGCACCAGCACAGAGTGGCCAGTGTTCATCAAAGCACCTTTCCCAGGCCACTCATCTCTGGGATGAGCTCAGTCCTCCTCTCACACTGGTCCCCCATCTAAGACACAGTGCTGGTGGCCAAGAGGCTTGTTCATGCAGGAGAAAGGGCCACAGTGGTGTGTGGCTGCTGCTACCAAGGGAGAGAGGCTGGCATACTGCAGCCCCGTGAGTTCCCGCCCCTCCCAGGTGAACCAAGAAAGAGACTTGCTGGGCTCACGGCTTCTTGGAGGCTCTCGAGCCTCCTTCCAGAGCTTTCTTGGCTAAAAGCTCCTGCTCCTCCTTCATCTTCTTCAGCTTAACCTTGGTTTTGCTGGATGAGAAGGTGAGCGAGGTCTTGCTGAACTCCAGGGGGAAGACACCCACATCCCCATCAAAGCGGTTCTTGGACACCTGCAAGTAGCGTCTCCCTGGCCCCGACACCAACTTACGGTCCTGGAGGATGAGGACGTTGTCAGCCTCCTGGCTGGCCTGGGGAGAGAGAAACATCTCCAGAAGGATGCCAGGCATGCAGACTGAGTCACGGGGCTTGGAGTGGCTCATGCACAACCTGCCCAGCTTCTTCAAGCTCTGTTATAGGGCACCTCAGGCTGCAGCAACTCCAGTGCTTCCCCAGTACCAACCCCTTGTCTTCTCCTGGGACATCCCAGCGATGCGCTGGGCAGACAGGCCTGAGCTGAAGCCACAGCACACGATGGAGAAATGGGATCACGGGAGGGCCCTGCACATTCAGAGAGCACCTCCTGCCCACGACTGCAGGGTTGTTCAGCATCACAGAAGAGACTGGAGCACTCAGAGAACCCATCCCTGCACCCTCTCTGTCTCCTTTAATTATCTCCTACTACATCCCAGTCACAGTCAATGAGTACTAATTAGCTGTACCTAAAGCCCCAACAGAGCTTTAGCTGGCAATGGCTTTGCTTCCTGTCTGCATCTCCCTACCAAGCTCCCCCAAGCGGGACTGCACATCTTCAGCAGGTGACAGGACTCCTGGGGACATCCCACCCCTTTCAGTACCTTTCAAGTCCCCCTGATGATGACTCGTGGTGCCAATGGGATGCGAAGATGACTACCCAACCTATCACAGCCCCTTCCTGGGAACACGCTGTGCCCAAGGGACAGAACGGGCCATGCTGGCCCAGCTCACCTTGGCAGAGCCAAAGATGGAGGCTGTCTGCAGCTCCTTCTCGTCATCCTCCTTGCGGGGATGGATGACCAGGGTGATGTGGCAGGTGTTGTCTGTGGCAAACTTGCGGAAGGCACCAACGATGTAGTCTTGGGCAGCCAGCCTGCCTTGGCAGTGACAATGAGGTCAGGGGCTGACACTGCTTGGTGGCAGTGGGCAGCAGGTGCTCAGCCCCACAGCAGGACGCACCCAGGAACCTGAGCTCGCTCTCCATGAAGCAGCGAAGCCCACGCAGGCAGAGATATGGCACAGCAGGGATGGTTGGTAACCTACTCACCCCTTCCCACCTTTTCCTCCCCAGGGCAGTGACCACCCTTTAATGAAGGGGTGGCCTTCGCCCTCTACATGAGTAAAGGAGTCACCCTGTGTGAGTTCCCATCCCCTGTTGTGACACCTGACAGGGACAGCTAGAGCAGTGAGGGTGACAGAGGAAGGAGGGGTTGAACTGGAGAAAGGCTACCTGTCCACAGCGACGTGCTCGTGTCCCATCATAAACTGGAGATTGTCAACGACCACGTGGGTGATGTCGTACATGTAGACAGCATGCTGCATGGCATCAATCACTGTCCTGGGCGGGGGAGACCAGGATCAGTCCCAGGGATCAGCGGAGGCAGGGATGGGGTTGCTGCGTTAGGCACAGGGACATGGAGAAACAGAGCTGGGAGGTACCAGGCTGGTTCCTGCTGGCCCGTGCACATCTCACCTCTGTACCTCCCCCGTTGCAGCCCCATCCCCACAAGTAAAGGTGGTTGAAATCAGAAGGACCCAGTTGCTGCCCACACAGCCCCTGCCCACTGCCCTGCAATCCCCCCAGCCCATGGGCACCCTCAGGATACACAGGGATGTGTGCAGGTGCCAGAGTGCCTGATGAATAGAAGGAGTTGGAGGTGTCTGTCCTCCCTCCTCAGCAAACAGCAGTTCTTCCAGGTGAGCAAGGTATGTGGGGACATGTCCTGCCAGGGACAGAGGCTGGCTTCACAGCCACCTAGCACAGGGACAAGTTCCCCTCCCTTCACCCCCACATGAGGGAAGCTGTGACAGTCCCCACACCAGCATGAATGTAGCTGGTTGAGCCACATAGTCCCCACACACCAAGGCCAAGACTTGAACAGTCCCAACGTGCCTCCTCCCAGCCCCAAATCTGTGACTTGCTGCAGGAGAAGAGCTCTGGCTCCCCAAAGCCCTGCAGCACATGCCATGAGGGGTGAATGCCACTGGGGATGAAGGTGCAGGACCATACTTGATGTTCTGCTGGCCATGGAAGGTCATGAAGTAGAGCGGGAGGTCCTCAAAGCGATCGGCCCACTCATCGTACAGCTCCAGCTGGTCCTCCAGGCGCCGGCCGGCAAACTGTGTCAGCATGATCTTGGCCAGACGGACATTGTTGATCTCAAAGCTGCCCCACAGTGTGCACACTCCCTGCATGCACAGGTCCAGTGCATACTCGCTGATAAAGGTGGTCTTCCCGCTACCTGTTGGGCCTGGTACAAGGACAGTGACTGGAGGAATTAGCTGAGGGAGATGATCTGACCCATCCTGAACATGCTAGGGGGGTTGTTTAGAGGTGGAAGCACTAGAGAGTGGGATAAGACCCCTCCCATAATAAACAATCATATTGTGCTACACTGCGTACTTGGGTACATGGGTATCGCCTCCAGCAGCCTGCAGGTCCCTGCAGGTTACTGGGAAGGGCTGGGCAGCCAGCAGAGGGGGGACAAGGGGAGGGCTCAAACAGGAGGTGGCAGCTGGCAGCAGGGTAGGGACAGTCCAGGACTTCCTGTGCTGCCCCAGGCAGGGAACCCATTACCATATCCGTGTGCCCAGTCCCATGACACCTAGGAACACACCCCAGCCTCTAACACACCCACATGACAGGTTCAGCCAAAGCCACGAGTAGAAAAATACCTAGAAGACTTGTGAGGTGTCATCCCCAGGAGGCTGAAGCCACCAAAGGGCCTTCTGCTCCCCCTGTCCACCAGCCATTTCGCCCATTACCTGTGAAGACGGTGAGTTCCCCTTTGCGGTGGCCTTTGAGGAGCTTGTTGAGCTCAGGGAAGCGTGCCCACTTGATGCCAGCCACCTGCTCATTGTTGACCAGCTCCCCAAACACCTCCTCACGCAGCTGCCGGAAGGAGATGATGGATTTGTGGCTGGCGGGCAGGGCAGAACGCAGGATCTTGGTGAGGTTCAGGCCCTGGTTCAGAGCCTCCAAAGGCCGGGGCTGCAAGTTGCCAGGGTGCACCAGGCAGCAGCGCTTGAGGCTCAGCTTGCGGGCAAAGTGTTTGGCAGCTTCCCAGGAGCGCAAGTCCTCGCCCAGCCACAGTGTGATGCGCTTGAACTGCTCTAGGTAGGGGAGGAGGGCAGGAGGCAGGCAGGTGGCCCCGCGCGGCAGGGCCAGGCTGGCCACCCCTGTAGCTTGGTGCAGGGCCAGGGCATCCAGCTCCCACCCAGTTAAGACCAGCTCTGTGTCTCGGCGGCCAATCAGGGGCAGCCCAAAAAGATTGCGATAGGAATCGAGCCGGGGTAAAGTCTCTTCTACGTAAGCTATTGCATCCCCATTCTTCTCCACCCTCACAAGCTTCAGGCCCTTCAGGGTCGCATCACGGGGGCTGAACCAGGGGAAGACGAGGGACTTGGCAGCTCTCAGATAACGCACTCCGAAGCGTTTCAGGGTGGCATCCGTCACCATGGAGATACCAAACCTGGCCTTGGTCTCGTTGGTCTCATCCTCATCCAGCAGCTCTGAGAACGGCAGAGCTCTGTCCCAGATGCAGCGAGCATCCTCGCGAGCCCCCTGCATGTCCTCCTCCACCTCCTCCGAGCTGGCGGACCGAATGCCACGGTGCTGCAGCTCCACGTTGGCCTGGAAGTCCTGCCAGGTGCCCTCAGCCAGGGTGGCCGTGCACAGAAAGCTGCCCGTGGTCTTGTCAATGAAAAGCGTGTACGGGGCATTGGCGGCGGCCGCCGGCGGCTGGTTCGCGCGGCTTTCGGTGAAGAGGCTGGGGGTGTGCAGGCAACTGTACCCGTCGTGGAAAGGGATGCCCCGGGCCCGCAGGTACTGCCGGATCTCGGTGATGGAGACGGAGGGCGCGGGCCCCTCGGGGGAAGGCAGCACGTCCTTCTTGCAGCGCCGCTGGCTCAGGCGGCCCGGCACCCCGGGGCTCAGCGAGGCTCCCTTGTTCCTGGC